GGAACAGTTTCCTAGTCTCCTCCATATGCTCAACTAGAATTGCTTGTATTATTTCATGCACTCCTGTCATTGTGATAGGTTTGGGTGCAGATTTGATGACCAGTGCACAACCAATCACATGCTCAGGCTATCCATTTATGTTATCATTTCCTCTCCTACTACAAGTTCTCACCATGACGTTTTGTACACCAAAGCAGGCACTTAGTGTATCGAGAGGCGAGTATATTATGATTGTAACGTCCCAAAAATTACAAGGATATTTTTCAATTTTAAAAATATGATAACCAATTAAAACCTTTGTATCAAGAACCTTTAAGTGACACTTTTTAATTAAAATAATACAATATTAGAGTTAAGTTTACAAAACTGTGGAAATGGACATCTCCAATGCGTGTGTACAGTCTCGCCGAGGTCTTCTCACGAATGACCTGTAAAATATTTAATCCACAATTGTAAGAATAAATCTTAGTATGTCCTGAATATATGACATATTCCATCATACATACAATACATGCACACAAAAGTTTGGCCTATCGCCAAAAAGCCAAATCTCATATCCACATAAGAATACACAACAATCATAAATAAAATAACAGGTCTTCTCCAACCTTCGATGAATGTTATGATCTAATTCATACTCTTACATCTTGCCATGGGTTATCCCCATGGTCTTTCACTGTAATTCCATTAGATACCACCATGGTCTTACGATCAAATGCCATGGGATACCCCCATGGTATTATAATCAAGTTCCATGGGCTTCCCCCATGGTCTTTCTCTACATTGCATAAAGTCATATGTAGTTAGGGATCGAATAGACAGTCGAACATATAACCCACCCGAAAGCAAACAATCTGACGAGAACATCACAATCAGTCATTAGACCAAGAGTTTGTACGCTATCTAACTTAGACTACTTAGAAACCAAGTTAGCGCCACCACATAACCATATATCATGCATTCATATCATAACCTAACATGGTATATTCCCTTGGCAAATAGCCTTCCCTAGTTACCATACTCTTGACCATTTCTCAATAAAGTCCTTCACTAGTCAGTCATATATAGTCCTGATAACTGGACTAACCCGGTTACCCTATCCAAATATAACTCATATCAGTACCATACGATTAATAGGCAAGACCCTACTAGTCTAGCATATCAAGACATCAGGTGCCCTATACTGTACATTCATACAAAGGAGTCATCCTAGCCAATTATCATAGTTGTACCCTATTAGTACCTCTATCCTACATTACAAAGGATATACAATAGGATACATAACATAGTGAGAAACTCACTTGATTAGTAGAAACGAAGAAGCACAACATAAATCTAACTCCTTGCATTGATCAACCCCTCGAACGAACTGACACCCAAAATAGATAAATCTTCAATTATCAACCTAATCCTCCAAGTTTGACCCCAAGTCAAACTGGTCAAAAGTCAACATGCAACCCAGTCAAAGTCAACATCACGTCGTAACCATTCCTTGGTCATTTCATGACAGATAATAGACAAAACATTTGTGACTCTAAGCTCCATCACGTCATGAAAATCCTTAAGTCACGTCGTGACTTCTGGTAGAAAGCCAAAATCTTCATTAAGTGCTTAATTCCTTTAAGCAAAGGCCCAAAATGCAGATCTAGTTTCTTTCACCGACTTAATGGATAAAGTTGCCAACTTTATCCGTTAGGACACAATCTCCAAACTATCTATAAACCTAAATCCTTAATAGCATAGAACCCATCCCAAAACATGCATGAAGTCACGAATAAGATCAAGATGCAAACTTTCCTAATCCAATAAGATTAAGAGATGACAAAATAAGCTCAAGAGGTGCTAAAGTTCACTCAGCTCGAAAGCATAAGCTATCAAGGACCAAAAAGGACATAAATGATCAACTACAAGATCTAGTAATCTAAAGATAAAGATAAAAACTAGAGGATGCCTTGATCTTCCCATCCTAATGAGGATGACTTGGATAGAGTAAATACCTAATGAGGATGCCATGATATTCCCATCCTTCATGTCCTACAATTATTTAGGGAAGCTTCTTCTCTAATGACCCTTCTCGCCACAATGGAAGCAACTAGCCTCCTTTGGATCACTGATCGTAGGGAGATCAAAGTTGGGCTTCGAATTGGACACATTTCTACTCCTTCCAACATGGGTCATCCTTGAGCCTTCCTATTTTTCCTTTTGCCAGATCCAATGGCCAGGACAGGAGCACTTGTTGCAGAAGGGGCATGATTTTTCTTCGTTCCTGACACATCAGTTTGAAACAAGTTATGGAGTTGTGTCAATGTCATCTCCATGTTGTTCAGATGATAAATCAAGAAGAACAGATCATAACTAGGACTCAATGAGTTAAGGACCATGTCAATGTCAACCTCCTAATCAAACGACACATTGAGACTTTGTAATTGCTCCATGTATCTTTGCATCTTTTGTACTTGTGCATAGACAGATTATCCTTCCTTTAGCTTGCATGCAATGAGAGACTTGAGCATTTCACAGTGCTCTTGTCTTGCCTTGTCACAACTACAAAAATACCCTTTAATGACATAATTGCGTGTCATAAAACCCACAGACAACATGCAAATGCGTGTCAAGGAAGACCTTGTCATAAAGGAAGACGACACACATTTGTGTGTCGTAACCTTACAACAACCATTTACGACGTGCATAGATGACACACAATGCGTATCAAGGAAGCCCCTGACATAATAGAAGACGACACGTATTTGTGTGTCATAATTTTTAATGTTATATATATATATATATATATATATATATATATATATATATATATATATATATATACATATATAAATCAACATTCATTCATCCAATCTACTTTGTGTTTCATACAATAAATGTACCATTACAAGAAACAATTTCCTTAAACAATCTAGGAAGAGCATAAGATGGTAAACCGGCCTTCTGTATCTCTGATCTTTAAGTAAGCAAAGCTTGCTTGACACTTTTTAGCAACTTCCATGGCTTCTTATATTTCCTTTTTTAGTAGCTTCCATTACTACATCACATGAGACAACATATGGTTGACATAAACAATGAATGTTTGTTCAAGGCACAACTCAACAAATCAACAAATCGTCTAAGTGAAATTTGTTCAATATATCTGAAATTTTTTATTTAATTATATATATATATATATATATATATATATATATATATATATATATATATATATATATATATATAAAAGAAATTATATGTTAAGTAATTTAAAAAATGTTAGAAATGAAAACTTACATTTTTCATATACATTATTTATTTATTTATTTATTTCATATTTGGACCATTTATCTAATCTTAATTGTTTTTCTTTGTTCCCTATTTCTTTATTTATTTTTTAAATTTCAAAAGAAATAAAGATTGTTAAATACACAGGGGAATAACTGTAATACACAGGGGCATAATGGTAATTTTTTTGTTGTTTCGGACCATTACTGTAATATTAACATTATGAATTATATGAACCTAAAACATTGACCTATCTCCTCTGTTGCTCCTTTCAACATTGTAGTTTGGTTTGCCATACCAGCTTTCACAAGCCTTATCTAGATCAAAACATTTGGAAACTGGAAAATAAAGATGGGATTAAATTCTTTCCGTGGGTAATTATATCATATGATGTTAACGTCTTGCAAAAGTAAAGTTTGTATGGTTGGTATGTCCAACTCAACATATACGATTTCCTAATATTTTTAATAAATACAAAATACACATTAATATATTTGGTAATATAATAAAAAAATCACTTTAATAAAAAAATTTACAATAAATTATAAGTTTGGTTGTATTGTATCAGAATATGGTATGTTAACTAATCAAAACGACTTTCCTTAGCAGTTGCAAAGTAAATTTGAACCTAAAACAAACGAAGCTATGATATGATTTTTTTTATTTAAAGAATAGACCATCTAATATAAAATTTACCATAAATTACAAATTCAGTTAATAAGTTTTAACAAAAGTTACATGTTTAGTCCAATTTTTCAAACAACCTTTTTTTGTAAGCTAACCTCCAGAAGCCGATGGATAAGTATAGCACCATTTCCTATGTTTCACTGTTGTTTATTAGCTGAAGGTACCCATTTTAGGTGATGAAGCTAATCAAGAATAAAAGAGTGAAGATAGAAAAGATGCAGATTTTTTTACCATCTAAATACAAGATCATAGTGTGAAATCGCTTTTGATTTTCAACAACCAACTCATCTAAGTCCATGGATCAACGACAATATGAATATCTTCTACCTATCACAATGAATTGAAAAGTTTTTTGTATCATTCAGCATACATTATCATTTTTATAAACCCAACAATTAACCATTCAAAATGCAAGATGAATATTATTACCTTCCCTCCCTCTGTCGCAAAATGCTTTTGAAGATCATTCTTTCTCCATAATTGCCTCATTTTCCTTCATTAATTTCTTCATCTTATTAATATCCTTTTCCAGCATACCCAGTTTTCAGAAAATGATGTAGCATCAAATTATATTTGTATGAATATATGTGAATTTTAGAAAAAAGTAACTCACTAAAAAAGAACTAAAAAATAGCATATCCTCCAAGAATGCACTTAACTCCCAAGTCCATAGGTATATGTATGGTACTACTCCATGGATTATGTAAGGACTGTATTCACACTAACTTAATCTAAAAACACTAAATTGGCAGTTGACACTACACCCCACACTCATTTTCCCAGAAAAAAAGCAACCTGGTCAAGAAGCATTTGAGACCAAGTAAACTTTAGAAATAGATGATCTTGAAAAGATGGATGAAATTACAGGTAGACACAAAATATGCACCATAATCTATTTTTGCATATAATGGCATAGTTATATATTACTTAGAACATGATTATTGTATTTTATCCATTACATATTGCTATTTACTATTATGGGTAAAAAGAAAGTGTAGGTAAATTGCCATCATGGGAAAAAGAATGTAAGTAGTACATTGCTATTACAGAATAATAGATGGAAACTTGATATGAGAAACCACAAGAGTTTTGCAACCATGAATATTGAAGATAAGCTGATGGAGAATTTGATCTAACCAAACATCATCCAAAACTACCAGGGTGGGTGTCATTGTGTTCCGATGGCTATATTGATTACGTGGCCATTGGGGGGCTATGTCAGAACTTCCATTGAATTTGCTTCTTGAAAGAAACCCCCAAATATATTGCCTTAGTTGTTGTACATTCAGGAACAAGATCTCATTATTAAAGTAACCTGAAACAGAAACATCACAAAAGCATTTCGTTGAACACTTTAGATGCAGAAAAAGAAAGGAAAAGAAAGTTAGGAGCGAAGGAGTTCAGAAGTTAACGTACTTTGCACTTCATCGTCTCTATAAATTTCTCTGGCTAAAGTAGTTTTCCCACTGCCTCCAATTCCATTTATCCTGGTAACAACCAAATAATCTCTATCGAGAAGCATACCTTTAACTTTCCTTTTCCCCAACTCCATTCCAACCTTTTCCAAACCACCCTCATATTGATCCTCCTCGTTCATCTTATTCATCGCCTCCTCCAACCACCACCCTTCACCGCTTCCTCCGATTTTCATGGATGCGAGCCGCTGCTCCAGCCTCCGAGTGGAGCCCTCAATTCGATCAAACCGCTCGGTGATCTCGAATCTTACGTGATGCACGCCAGCGAGGATGTGAGCCTGAAGCGGGACCTATAAGAACCTCTATATCTTCTTCTTAACCTTCTCCATCTTCCGCGACAACTGTAGGTTCTTGTAGACATTCCAACGGCTGGAGATGAAGACTTTTCCATTGAGTTCAAGCCCGTCACGGAGAACTATGGAGAGAGTATCTAGTTGTATCTGATGTGTCAGGGTTAACTCGACGCCGGAGTACTTGATCTGAGATATGAGCTTGGTTGCCTTATTCCTTAGGATAAACAAAAGGGATTCGATATTGATTGGGGGGGGGGGGGGGGAGAGAGAGAGAGAGAGAGAGAGAGAGAGAGAGGGTTGTCTACTGGTGGAGAGGATGAATTATATGGTGAAATTCAAGTAGGGTTTGAGATAAACAAAAGGGACAACACACAAAGGAGAAGGAGGAGACGCAACAGGCGGGGTTTTAATTTTTTGGGATTTCGTTTCCCGCTTGCCTGTTAAAAAACGGAGAACGCATATTCATAGAAAAAATATAAAACGACACGCTAACACGACACACTTTTTATGATAGGTTCCTTCTGTTATTTTGTTGGACACTAATTTTAGGGCGTGTACAAATGTGTGTCCTTTATTTTTCAAAATTTGGAAATCTAAAATTATTTTTTTAGGGCACGCACAAATTCGTGTTCTCTATCACTGTGTGACATTGTTCGCGTCTCTTTAAAGAGCTGTTTTCTAGTAGTTTCTTGTGGAACTTTTCCAGAAGGTCAAGACTCACCTCATATGGTCAGTAGTTCTCATAGAACTTCGCTAGCTTAGGTGCCATAGTGGACACCATGATGTATGAAACCTTAGTGGCATCATCAGAGTGTTTGTTGTAGGAAGTAATTACGTCTGGAGTAGTGGTGGAATTATCAATTTCGACAAGCGGATTTTCACGGACATATTCATTAATATCATAACGAATATTCGTCTTCAGGATTCTCATCTAATCGTTAGGACCAGAGAGCTTCTCTTTCGACAAAATTGAGAGTATGGAGAAGTTTCAGTTGGAAGGGTTGGTTTGAGTAGCAGCGAGTTTGCCGTTTCCAAACATCTATACAAAGAGACATAGTTTTAGTTAGTGATATAAATCCTTAATATTTTAAACTAAAATAAATATTCAATGCTAGGATCGAAAATATAATTTTCAACAAAGAAGAGGGATGTCGTAATCTAATTGTGAATTTATCAAGGTATGTAATACAAATTTACCAATTTCAGTCTAAAATGAAATTCCTCGATTGTTTGAGAGTCAATGAATCTTATCAATGACATGTTTAATCTCAAATTATGATTTTCAAATTTGTGACTTGGAAGTCGATGATCACAAACAATATGTGAATAACGATGCAAAATCGCTTGATAACCTCGATGTCTTTTATCATCTTAAATTAATTTGTCAGTAAACTATACACGCTCCATTAACAATGATAATTTTCGATTTGTCCATCACTCAACTTTATTGTCCCAAATTAGTGTTTTGGCCAGCCACTCATGCTCCACTAATGACATATAAAAAGTGATGTGTGTTTTCATGGATTAGCATACACTTCACATTTTCTCATAAATTAACTAGAGTTAGGATTTATTTAAAAAGGTTCTAGTATTTTAATAGCATCATACTTTTAAGAGGTTATGTTCTATCAGCCCGTTCAACTAACGACTCTCCACCATGGAAGGGAGCGGTGGGTGTGAGTGAACACCCATCCAACGGTCATTTTATAAGCCTTTTCTTTATACTTCCTTATACCATGGCTTCATAAATGAGGCCTATTATTATTTGACTGACTTGTCTTATACATAATATGTTAAACATTTGATCATATGTAGTATAAAGTGTATTTTAAAATTTTCAAAATACTAGGATTTAAAATTAATTTTCGAATAAAACAATTAATAATAGTTAATTTTAAACTAAATAATGATTCAATCTTTTATCTTAATTAAACAATTAATTAAATAAATTTAAATCATATTATTTACCAAGTAAACAATTAATTAAATAATTTAAATTTATAACTTATTGATTAAATAATTATTTACCAATTACAAAATTAATTAAATAATTCAAATTTAATCTTAATTACTTATCCTTCTAATTTTCAAAAAAGGATAGGGTTTATCAGTTTTTTATTTATTCAAATTTTAAATCCTATTAAAATAATAATTAATAAAACTTGAAACCCTAGGGATACCTATTAGATTTTTGAAAATAAGGGATGGTGGCTAGGGTGTTAGAAAACCCTACCCAAGGCGAAAAATTCAAGCCTTTAAGATGTATTTTCAATAAACCCTTGATTTGATCAATTCACAATTATGCACAATCAATAGAAAACTAAGTCTCTAATACCATTGATAGATTTTTTAGGTAATAAAAAATTACATGTGGCGAAAAAACACTTAACCCTTAAGTTCGCATTTAACCTAGTTGGGATCTATGTTTTTTCTATTGATAGTAATAATATATGAATATCAAGAAACCCTAAGAGAGGACTATGAAAATCAAAATTCATACTAATTAGGGTTACATATCTTTTTTATTATTATTGAAAATAATCAAAAATTCCTTTCTTCAATTTGCTTGGAAACCAACACCAAAATTATGATGTCTCTAATGGTTTATGCCCAAACGCTAGCAATGGAAGACTTAAGAGGAGAGAGGATATGGAAACAAAATTCCAACTCTTATGTGTCTTAGTATGCATGGGATGAAAATAAAGAGTCCAATGACCCCAATTTATAGCTGATAGGAAAAGCCTATAAACCCTAATTTGAAATAAAATAATATTATTTCAAATATGGAATTATCTAGTTTCCTAATTATCCATATTACCCACATAGAGCATTCCATAAACCCTTGGAGACTCCTAAATTTTGTTTCCTTAGGAAGGATCTAGAATCATTCTATTGTTCAACTATTGAACAATTACAGCTTAAGTCCTTGCGCTTTTAATTAGTTCATGTAATCCCAAAATTAATTCCAATTAATTTTTGATTAATTATTTAATACTACTATTTCTAATTAATATATTAATCGTACAATATATTAATAATTATTTATTTCAATTTGTAGTTAATTTATTAATCATATAATAAACTAACAAATCAACATCTTCCTCTAAAAGCCATTCTATCCATATACTAGTTTTTTAGGGCAACCCAAAAAGGATTTTTATTCTAATTTAAGAATATACTAATTTAGTTATTGACTTAGACACCTTAATCTAACACTTGTAACGTCCCAAAAGTACTAGATAAAATTTTGTTTTAAATCAAGCAAAATGTTCATCGATTACTTTCAAAAATAGAGATGGTATCAAGAGTATTTCCAATAACATAAGAATATAAAAAAGTCATAAGTATGAAATCTCATGTGGAACCATAAGCACATGAAATATTTAAACCATAAAACCATAAGCACAAAGCTTACTAAGTTCCCCAAAATACCACATATCATATATAACATGACAGATCAATTTCAATATGCTATGCGCCGAATCATATTCTTACTCCCTGCCATGGGCCAAATCATGGTCTTTACTTGTATAAGTACCAGGGGCCAAATCCTATTTTTCCATGGAATTACTAGGGGCCAAACCCTGGTCTTACATGCAAATGCTAAGGACCAAACCCAGTATTACATGCAAATGCCAGGGGCCAAACCTTGGTCTTTCATACAAATTCTAGGGGATAAACCCTGGTCTTCTATGCAAGTATCATAAAGACAACTACCTTCCTACACAATATAGTAAGAAAACTCACCTAACAATATAGTTAACGACTAATCAGCATGCACAACCAAGAAATAGGTACTAAAAACCACCTGCTAAACCTATCATTTTACCAAAACTCAACCTGGTCAAAAGTCAATGGTCAAAGTCAACATAAGTTGACCCCCACATCATGGTTATCCTTTGGCCAAGTTGTGTGACCTTCTCAACAAAACATTCATGGCCAGCCTAACCACCACGTCGTGGCAACCATGCCACCATGTCGTTGAAAACTAGAAAGAAATAACTTAATGGATTAAGCTCTCATCTATTTAGGACTAAAAGGTTCATAATATGACCTAACATAAGATCTAAAGATACAATGAATAAGGTAAAGACTTTATACCTCTACAATGTCATCTATGAGATATGGATGCTAGATCCAAGCCTAAGCCAAGTCCCAAACCACAAGATGGATTCCTCCTTCCTCCATGCTTAAAAAATATGGCTTCCCATTCTTAGAACTCACACAAAGAGGCTAGGGTTTGGGTGGGGGTCATTCTTAGATGATGGAGGCTGCCAAATGTAGTATCCCTAGAAGTTAGTGCCTTTAAATAGGGTAGTAAACCCAGAATCTAGGGCTTTGAACCCTATTCACCACCACATCATGGCCAAAAAGTTTCTACATCGTCGTGGTTTACGAATGCATGTTTTCTAGAACTGGGCTGCCACATCGTTGCCATTCCATCATTATGTCGTGGCCTAGGCAAATGTCCTAACATTTAATAAATAAAATTAAATTCAAAAGAACCATACCAGGAAATAGGTGTTACATGTAAGGTGTTCTTTAATTATACGCATGGGTTCATACCATGGTTGGGAAAAAAGGTGGCATCATAATTGGAGCACATGTTTGTCTGGTTAGAGATATGCTTGCCACCAGTATAATCTGTGTGTTTTGTAGTGTTAGTAGCAGTGGCATCAACGTCGACAATGGTGGTATTTAAGTATTGTTTTGTATGGTAGTTAGTTTTCCTTTTGCCATTGTTTTCTCCTGAGGGAAGATAGCGACAGTTTGACTCTGATTTGTCAATGGTGTTTGAAATCCAGTTATCAAGAGAAAAATTGGTGGTGTAGGGTATCTATTCCTAGTAGTTGGTAGTGATGACCACTTGAATGAAAGGACCA